AGTCCACGCGCATTCTAATTGAGCGAGAGTCCCCCGGGCTGTCGATCGCAACGATGAGGAAATCGCTTGATACCACGCCAATGGGAATGCGGTCAAGAGCTGTCTGTGGAATCAGAAGACGTAGTCTCATTGTGAATTTATCCAGAAGCATGAAAGTCTCCCAGGAATGTCTGGAGATTATATATCCTGCTCTGCCACATACGATAGACCTGCTGAGAGATCCCCTCACTGATGTCACAGCCACACATCACGCAAGGCAGAGCCAACGAGGCAGTCACCAGTCATCCCTTTTGCACATACAGATGATGTTGCAGCACTCGATGAGGGTGGCATATTCACATGCCAGTAACATGGATGGCCATGGACCTCCGGCAAGCTTATCTATGACCAGTGCGATGAAAAACGGGAACCTCATACGAAATACTTGTGGCCTCCAAGCGGCGAAAGCGCACTTATGCGACAAACACATAAGGTGCCAGGAATGGGAAAAGACAATTCAGAAACGAGAAGACGGCAATTACCCCCGGTATCAAAGGAATGGCGAAGACCCAGCCAGTCCGAGCACCTCATACAAACAACCATACGAGGCAAGATCCTTCCCTTCTCGATACGATCCCGTCCGGGTTTTTGGCTTGACTCAAAAACACCAGCCGATAAAGAGATGACACGTATTCTACCCTTCTACATTTTGTACACACGTATTGTACCCAAGATGTAGGTTTGGATTAAATGTGCAGGTTTTGGATGCAATGATAATGTACTAAGCTGACTTAGTGTAATAACCTGTGTCTTAGCTGACACAGGATTTCAGGTTTGGTTTTAAAATGGCGCGGGGAAATTGACAGGAAGCAGCCTCTTTCCAGTGGACTTAATTTTTCCAGTAGTGGTGAGCATGAAATTTTCCCCAAGAACAGTCTTGAAACAGATATTGGGTGAACATATTGCCGAACGAACTTGATTCTCATGATAAAAAAGGAAACGTCTTTTAGTGAAAAAAAAGAAGCTCGAAAAAAAGCTACGAAAATCCAGCTGCATAATTTAATCTCGTAATGTTGAGTAAAGAACCTCACAAATACTTTTCATAAAACCTTCGCTGACCATATTCAAACATTTTCTTGTTTAGACTCTCATGATGAAGACAACCCTCTCGGACTCAACTTATTTAATATATGTCTGATTAAAAAACACTGATTTGTAATTGTTCGACACGGCCAAAAACATTCTAACAAAAAAGAGATATAGTCACAAAGGTTGTCGCGAAGACTTCATGAGACTGGGGATCTTGACAGTGAGTGATCGGTGTTTCAACAACTACGCCGAAGACAGAAGAGGGAATAATAACCGCAAGGTACTTGCAGAGAGACTTCCGGCAACAGTGGTAGCGAAAAAACTGGTTCCCAATTCGCTTTCGGCTATCAAGAATGTTCTGGACAGTGGTTACAAAAAGAGGTTGGATTTGACAATTGGGGGAACTGGGATCTCGCCGAATGACGTAGTCCTGAGGCCACGCGCATTGTGATTGAGCGAAAAGCCCCCGGGCTGTCGATCACAATGATGAGGAAATCGCTTGATACCACGCCAATGGCAATGCGGTCAATAGCTGTCTGTGGAATCAGAAGACGTAGTATCGTTGTGAATTTATCCAGAAGCATGAAAGGCTCCCAGGAATGTCTGGAGACTATAGTTCCAGCTCTTCCACATGCGATAGACCTGCTGAGAGATGCCCGTACTGACGTCACAGCCACACATCACGCAATGCAGAGCCAGTCACCAGTAATCCCACTTGCACATACAGATGCCGATACAGCACTCGATGATGGTGGTACATTCACATGCCAGTAACATGCATGGCCATGGACCTCCGGCCAACACATCTATGGCCAGTGCGACGAGTCACGGTAACCTTGTACGAAATATGTGTGGCCTCCAACCGGCGAAAGCGCACTTGTGCGGCAAACAACACACCGGGTGCCAGGAACGGGCAAAGACAATTCGGAAACGATAGGTCGACGATTATCCACGGTACCAACAGTGGCCCAGTCAGTCCGAGCACCTCTCACAAACAACCATACGAGGCAAACACCTACTGTGGTTCAATACGATCCCGTCCGGGTTTTTGGCTTCTGACTCAGAAACACAAGGCCATCAGAGACAGCTCATTCTTTTGGCTGGAGATGTCAAAATGAACCCCGGCCTCACGCTATGCGGCATATGTGGTATGAGAGTTAATTCCCAATTTTCCAATTAAACAGCCCCACATTCTAAGGGACTTTTGCCTTTCCACACAAAAGTTAATCCAATTCGATAGATCTTTTATACGAAGGAATTATTTCAGTTAGAAACAATGCAAAACAACAAGGTCAAATTTGGATCAAGTATTAAAAAGGAGCGAACAGAATGCCCTGCACAAAAATTGCAATAAAGCAGATAGGACCATTTCAATTCATTGATTGGAAATGCCAGCTGTAAAATCAAAACAGCAAGTCACAGCCAGTATCTTGACTTGAAGGGCAATTTCCTGAAGCCATCGGCACATGAGAACACACAAGAACCAGACTACGCGATAGAAATCAACGATATCAAAAAAAATAGATTCACAAACTCCTCGACGCAAAAACTACGTCAGCCTTCTGTTGCCTTTGTTAAGGCCAAGTGAGAAAATCGAGATAAAAATAGAATCCAACAATTGCACTTGACTTCCAACAACAGCACTTGACTTTGCGCTTCTCGAATTTTCGACTGCTTCGTGGCTCGCACCGTTTTCTCGGTATCTAAGCACTCCTTCGTGATAAACTGTTTCTGTAAAAGGCAAATTTCCAGACAGAAATCAAACGAAGAATCTGCTGCGTATCGCGAGATATCTATTGGACGATCTTCGACCTCGTATATCCATTCCAGTATCAGAAAAACAAGAAACTTAAGTTGTATCTACGGATTTTGGCCCTTGCTTTAGCGTCACTGTTATATGTGGAACAGTGTTAAGCAAGTCTTTGAAATTTGCCATATACCCGACTATTTAAATAACTATTTCGTGAACACATATTTCGTAAACGTCTTTTTCAGGCAAATTGACGAAATCTCGACAAGCGAAAACGTTCAAAGGATTTGACCAAGGATTCCATTCTGTGCTAGAAATGCCACATCCAGATTTCGCAAGTTGATCAAAGCAAAAACTGGAGGATTTTAAACCGTAATTTAGTCCTCCGGGGTTTATTATGATGGGAATCTATGCGAATGATTTATTGTTGGAGGGTTTCGTCCGCAAAAAAAATCAATTAGTAAAGTTTTTGAAGGTATCATCTATAATAGACTTGTAATGTTTTTTTTATGAAAGTGTTTTCAAATTGTCAATTTGGGTTTTGTGAAAATATGTCCCTGTGGATGGAATTGCTTCTGTTACTGACAACATTCAGCTTTCTTTAGTGAAAAACATGAAAACAGCGGTCTGCTTTTAAGACTTGCGAAAAGCGTTCGACACAGTCAACCATACGAAGCTTCTTTCAAAGCTCGAATTACACGGTTGCAGAGGCATTGTTAAACTTTTAGAAAAACATTTGTTTAACCGATTGCAATATGAACTTTAAGGTAATTTTGCTTCCAACCTAAAACCAACTGTTTGTGGTGTGCCACTAGGCTCAGTATTAGGTCCCCTTCTGTTTCTGATCTACATCAATGATTTACTACAATGTGATGGTAAAAAAAAGCGGTTTTGTTTGCCGATGATACAGCTATAAATCAAAATTCAATAAAAAATAACTCATTTTAAAAGATCTGGAGGATGTTAACCAATGGTTGAAATCTAACAGCTTACAGTATACCAAGATAAAAGAAAAGTTGTCAAATTCAGCAAGACCTCAACAGAAAACCTTAATATGAAAATGAATATGAACATGAACAGAAAACCTTAATATAATATAAAATGAATTCAAAAGAAAACATTAATATAAAAATTGAACAGGTTCAATCTGTCAAATACTTGGGTATGGATGTAGATAAGAAATTAAATTTCACAGATCATTTTCAATTTGTTCCATCGAAAATAGCGCAACATTGTGGACTCGACTCATGTACCGTATCAAACATATTTTTTCCATCGAAAGCAACTGTTGAATTTCTATAATGTTTTTAAACAAAACAGTAATTCAAGATGGCGTGCTTGTGTATGGATGCACATCTATTACCAGTTTGACCCCAATTCTGAAACTGCAAGCTTTCAACAAACGATATCGCGAAAGTGTTGAAGATAAAATTGTAGAAAATCGTATTGCGACAGTTTTTGAACTCCGCATATATGAACTTTTTAAGGGCGTGGTCAATCAGTTGCTTGAGACTAGCAATCGAATTTAATCGAATTTCAAAAAAGAGGGAGCTTCAAAGTTCGTCATTACGAGTTTTACCGAAGTATATCAGTGGTACAGGTATAACCTAATAACAAGACGTAGACTGTAATTTTCAATTACTTTCATAATTTATCTGTTTTTGAGAAATTAGGTTTAATAAACAGTAAACATGACTTTAAAGCGTTTTCTTATGATGTACTAGATAGTTACATCATTGATAATGATTAGCTGGTTAATATTGTCTTCGGGTGTCTTTCAGTGCTTACACTAATTCACAGTAAGGCCTCAATTGAGCCCTCAAAAGTCATTCTGATAATTCTAGAGGGTACTTAGACTCTCCAGTTTAATGAGTACTGAGAGACCTTTTCACATACCGGGGCCATCCCTAATAAGCAGTGACAAAAAACTTTTCAATTTAATTTCTAAAAGCTAATTAGGTCTTAATTATATTGTATTATCTTAGTTTGATTTTTATAAAGATGTTTAGGGCATAATATGCAGGCCTTTGGTCTGTTGATGCTCCTAGGTAGGCTGTAATTATTGGACTTCATTGATTTATTTCTATGAATTCGTGCAATGTGAAAGAATTTTGTATTGCCTACTGGATTATAAATAAATACAAACACCAAAATTATGTATTCTAATCTATCCAAGTCTTACCTTATCACGAGACTGGTGCAACGTACTCATTAATTGCACCAAAAATTGCAGCACATTCGGAACTGATTCCAGTAGAAATTTAGCCAGCAAAGCGCGTCTGGCTACACTCATTGTTTCCTTTGGAGTAATAAATTCCTCGAATGTAGCTCTTAGGAGCGTCAACCCAGCCAGTTGCGTCTCTTGATGACTTATGAAACCCATGATGTAATTGAAGTACTCCGGATCTTTTTCCGGCCACTCACAACGTGCAATATCCGCAATTAATTTGCATAATTTATTCAGCACGTAGTACTGAGACGACTGTGCGTTTTCAAACAGAAATCTTCTCACTGCGAACTTCAAATCACTTTTTTGAGCTTCGTTATAACGAGGCCAATTATAACATACACATGCTTGAAGAATGTTGATTGCAAAAGTCCGTGTGTAATCTTGATTTGAATTGCCAAGGAAAAATAAAGCTTGTTGAAGGCATGTTTGTTGTTGGAAAAACCTCGAAAGAACATCATCGATTTGTTTTCGTCTATCGTTCGTGCAGCAGGGACTGTAGAACTCATCCAAGATGGATTCTAGACTAAATAAACTGGCCTCCAGGTCTTGTGCTTCCTTCAACAGATCACTGGTCGGAACTTGCTGTCCTGTTTCGGGACAAGTTGAAGACATCTTTCTATTTTACAGATTTAACTGAAAAAAGATCGGGTTACAGGATAATTTTCCGACGAAAAGTGTAAGCAAAATTATACACTTTGTTCAATGCATTTTTTTCTCTGTTCAGCCTTTTTTATCATGTAGTTCGCAAAACCTGCCAAAACTAATGTTAAAAAATATTTCACATGTATTTTCAATTTCATGACATAAGATCAAATTTACCTTTACATCCCACTTAAGAACAAATCTGTCAATTGCCAGTCATTGTATAGCATTCAGTATTTCTATGAACTATTTTCCAGCATTATCTTTTAGCTTCAATTGAAGACGAAAAAGACATTGGTCCAAAGGATTAATTTCTAATTCAGAAAATGGAATCATATATTTATTCTAGGCTAATTTATTTTTACAAAATTTGGAATACGAATCGAATAGTAGCAACGGGTAAGGCACTTAAGCTATAACATATAATCATAGCTAGCATTAGTTAAAATGTTAGCTTTCAAACTTTTAAGTGAAATGCTCAAACTGTCGAATCTCTTCAACTATTTGCCTTCGTATTGCAACAGGGGGAAATTAATTTTAGGTTTAACAATCACATATTTTTAACCGTTAAATTAGTCCTTCATACGGAGTGGGGCCCGCGTTGAACTTAAAACGATCGTCATAACGATCGTGAAATACAAAACTGAAATACAATAACGCGCGACCGAAGAAGTTAAGAGCGACCCAAAAAATATAAGTCGCGACCCAAAAAAATATGTTGCGAGCATTGCAACTAAAACTGGGTATATTGCGACCATCACGACTCATAACAGATACGTTGAGAGCCTTGCGAAGGAAAATGGATAGATTGTGACTTTGCGCGAGCCAAAAATGGTATGTTGCAACCATTTCGACTAAAAATGGGTATGTAGTGACCTGTGGTACTGCGGTTGCAGAAACCTTGATGTTATCTATTTATATAATATGGATACTGTCATTGTAAAGGCCATTTGCGCCGATCTAGAAGAGAAGAACTGCGAGTTCAGTTCTGCCATAGTAGAACTGAGCTGAAAGACTTCCTCAAGACCAGTCAAAACTCACCTCTTATGAAACACTAGTTTTACATAACTGAGTTACCAGAACTTGCAATAGTTATCACATGGCGCAGCCAGCAGGATTCTTGTCTAAAGACAACCGAACCCACATGGAATTCCCGTATTCTAGACCACAGCCAGCTCATTCCGCCATGTAAGTTTAAGATTTGGTTCGATCAATTTATCATGACAGTGACGGTGAAAGAAAATATGGATCCTGAAAAATTATTACAAGATCCGAAACTGGTCATAGACGAGCCAGCACTAAGACCACAAAAACCACGAACGGGAGGAGATGCTACGGCCCTATCTCCCGACGAAATGTTGAGAAGAGCGCTAAAAATTTGAAGAAAGCAATCAGACAACACATGCATTCCAGAGGACAAATGCCAATACTGCAAACGCAACTCAGTCATCTGGTTTACAAATTAGAAAAAAGACCAGAACCTATTATGACAGTGGATAAAAAAAACCAGAACAGCAGGCAACAAGGCAAGGAGCAGTATAAAAGAAAACAACAGTCAGGTAGAAACAATTGACGAGCTACAAACTAGAAACGACCCTGCAATACGTGCGGCAGAACATTTAACGAAGGTCATTCAAAAAACTGCCCGGCGATTGGGAAAACGTGTAAAATCTGCGCGTAACCAAACCACTTCGCGAAAACGTTTCGTTCTAAACAGGTAAGCGAAGTGCCTGAGGATGGAGATAGCTCTGAAGTGGAGTGCAACCTCACACAGAATTTTGACTACTGTAATGAAATTGAAATCATGTCGATAGAAAACCAATCGATCATTAATCCAGATTGAACAAAACGTCCAAAACAGATTGGCAATTAAAGAAGCGATATAAAAGGAGAAACAGGACTACCTAAGTATCAAAAAGATTGACATACCAAGAAGTCCACAGTCAGAACAAATTTTCAAAATGACAATAGATACAGACAGTCCAGTATCCTTCCTTAATTGGGCTACTGCGAAAGAAATCTTGGAAACTTCAGAGAAAGCCATCATTTTACCAACAGAGCAGTTAAACCTGTCTGCACAGTTAGTTGATTATAATAAGCATCTGATTTTGATTCTTGGAGCACTCATGTAAACATTCGTTCAACGGGGTGGGAAGCGCCAGATGCATCACTTCTGATTAGAGAGACGCCCTCAATGTATTTTGGGACTGCATCTCCAAAGCAGGGTGGGAATCAACACTACCTTGAAACCAGCTCCCAAAAAAGTCGAGGTTTGTCGTGCTACTGTGCGAGCAGCCAGAAAATTTATTTGATCGGCTAGAGGAATCAAAAAACAATGAAGTAAACACAAAGTTCAAATACCTACTTTGCCCAATTCAAGAAAAGGGTAGGCGGATACCAATTCACCTCCAAGACAAAAACAACTTGACTTAAGCTTGCACTAGACGCAAAACCAATCAATACACAACTATTTAAAAGCAAAACCAAGCAATAGACAACTATTTAAAAACAAGTATCAAATGCCCAACATAGATGAATTACTAAATGGGGTGAGCCAAATTGTAACTACCAATGCAGCGGTCAAGTTTAACTCCACAGTAATAGACTTGAATTACGCGTACTGTCAATTCTGATTGACTGCAAAAACAGCGGATGAATGTAAAAAAAATTTTGTCGGGGGGGGGGGCACGCAACAGGGACCTTAAGGTTCCTCACAAGTTTCGATGGAACTTTCGAATGTATTGAAAAAATTGGATGAAGGAAATCTGGCGCTAAAAATTTTTTATTGCGAGTTTTTCAAAAACCAGGTAGACTGGCTCTGACACCATCTATCGGAAAGCGGCGTCATACCGAAAGTAACAAAAACGGAGGCAAATTAGAGTTAAATCCCACAGGTCCCTGAAAAAACTTAGGTCGTTCATAGGAAGCATTAACCACCTTACTAAGTATATTCCAAGTACAGCAATTTTAACAGACAAACTCAGATCGTTGTTAAATGAAAAAAAAAAACGAAAAGAAGAAACAAAAAAAGTTACCGGTAAAAAAACTGCATGGGGGAACAACATTCAGATATATTTGAAAAAAAGCGGTCGCAAAGATGAATTATTATGACTCTCCAAAAGACATGTGTACAAAGTGCGACGCCAGCCATCATATCTTAAGAGCAACCCTGGAACAAAATCTAGGGATGGAGAATGGATCCCCATTGCATTTGCCTCACGTTATTTTAATACCTCAGAAAACAAGTATTCCACTGATAAGCTAGATGAAAAATTCGTAGTTACGTCAATAGAAAGTTGTAACACAGCGCTCGGCTGTTTAAGCAGTCGATTAAAAGATGAGGCGGAGCTCACCCGGAACGAAAACAATCTAGAAGTCGAAATAAAAAAAAACGACATAAAAAGTCATCGTACGATTGCCATAGCAAACAAATTGTTCCACAACGAACACAACTCCACCTGAACGAAAACGTTCGAAATTTATGACTCTCAAAACTGCCAAAATTAAGTTATGCAAAATCTCCTGAGTGAAACAGTCAGTCAGCTTTATAATTCAAAATTCAGAAAAAAAGAATATCAGTATGAAAAAGGACAAATCTAGAAAAATAGTGCGGACTAACGACCGGAGAAGTGAGCAACGAGGCCAGCGGAGAGATATAACAGAGAAGGAAGTCACGTAGACGACGTTACAGAAAACCATGACAATCAAGAGACTCGGAGAGTTCAGGATCGGTTCTCAGGATGGCCGTGTAGCGAAAAGCGCCTGGAGAAAGTGGAAAGACATTCCGGACCCAAACCAATCGACATCAACAAAATTGATCTCTTTCTAGGATTTAGTGGGCGGAGATAGACACGGCCATGAACTATGCTCGAGCTAGAAGCCAGTTCAGAAATGATCGATACAGACCTTATACTACGGATCCTAACCAAAGGAACGGAACGAACAACGACCGATACGACATCTAAATAGTCGAAGTGGACTCAACAGTAGGAGACAGGGAGCAATTTTCAAGGCTTTTAACTTTTTTCTTATTTACGAATCTTGTTGAAACTGGGTCGTTTTATAAAAAATTTTCTGGGCAACACAAGACAAAAAAGTTGTTGGATGTATTTAAGATTTTACTTAACAAGGTGTCCTCAAAATCGGCCAAAAATTCCAAATTTGAGACCTTTTCCAATTTGAAGGCCTTCAACTTTACTTCTTATTTCTGAATTATGCTGAAACTTTGTCAAATCATAGAAGATATGCTAAGTAAAGTTTGACTGTAATATTATTAGGAGTTGGTCTATTTATCATTTAGTTAGAGGTCCTCAAAAATTGCCAGAAAAAAACACTTCCAGAGAAAACTTTTTGACATTCTGGTTATCTAAGCTCCCAGTGTTTTTTTTCTGGCAATTTTTGAGGACCTCTAACTAAATTATAAATAGACCAACTCCTAATAATATTACAGTCAAACGTTACTTAGCATATCTTCTATGATTTGACAAAGTTTCAGCATAATTCAGAAATAAGAAGTAAAGTTGAAGGCCTTCAAATTGGAAAAGGTCTCAAATTTGGAATTTTTGGCTGATTTTGAGGACACCTTGTTAAGTAAAATCTTAAATACATCCAACAACTTTTTTGTCTTGTGTTGCCCAGAAAATTTTTTATAAAACGACCCAGTTTCAACAAGATTCGTAAATAAGAAAAAAGTTAAAAGCCTTGAAAATTGCTCAAAAATCACAAAAGATGGAAGTGCTGGCAATTTTTGAGGACCTCTAACTAGGAGACCCTTTGAGATATCCCAAAACTTTTGATATCAACAATTAATCTTACCTTCGTTCCGTCTCTGACAAAATGTCAACAAATTTCATTAATTACAAAAAAAGTTATAGGTCTTCAAAATTGTGGCAAAAAAGACACTTTTCGACTGTTTTCGATTTTTTTTTGCAAATTTTGAGGAACTATAAATCCTAAAGTACTTGAGATATCTTAATGATTTTTTGAT